AATTGCAAAGTGGGCTAAGATCAGGTAGGGGTATTGAGAAGCATTTACAATTGTATAGACTAGGTCTTACTAGCAGTAATAGTAAAGTGACAGTCTTGTAGCAGAATCGATGAGGTCTAAATAACAAGAATAAAGAGTATAGAACCTTGAGAGTTGTATTAATGGAACACAGATGAAGGATAGTAACTTATCAACACCTTGTGACTGAGATACCAGGGGGAACCTATCAAATGACAGTATAACCAGCCAAGCAAAGAAGATTATACAGAAAGAAAAAGAATACCAAAATATTATTAAAATAAAAAATGTCGGAAAAGTGAGAAAAAGATAATACAAATTTACAGTGACTTGCAAGATTAAAAAAAAGGAAAGAAAAGCAGAAGATGTAGTGCAGGAGAGATAAATTTGGATTGGAAAGAATAATATTAGGATGAATGGAAGAGAAACATTAGGGATTGCGAGATAAAAATAATAAGAATTGAAAAATAAAATGTCACAAGATAAAACACAAGATAAAATCAATCAACCAACAACAGCCAGAGAAACCAAACAAAACCAAACAAAACAAACAAACAAAAAAATCTCTTGTTGGTTTCTAACTGGCCAGACCAGCTTTTCTGATCTTGCTGGCTTCAGCTGGCTGAGGGACATTTGAAATGCTTCTCTCTCTCCCAGCCAGATCTCAGCAAGTGTGTCAGGTACCCTGGGCACTCCCAAACACACTCGCTCTCTGGATCTCACTTCCACGTTCTTCCGTACTCGGGGATCCTGCAGGGTTCCAGCTCTATGATCTCAGGAGGCACCCGCGACATTTTGGGATTCACTGTGCCCTCCCTGGGGATCGTAAAAGGGCGCGCCCCTCCCCCAAACTTTTGAGATTCGGGGTCTAGGATCTCCCTAAGTGCCTTGCTGTGACCCTTCTGGGTTCAAAGCGCGTGAGAGTCAGTCTTCCCGATGGTGCATGGGCCAAGCCCTTTCCAGCTCCGTGTTCCGCACTCAGATCGGTTGTTGCCGCCTTTCCTGGCTCCCCCAGTAGGGCTGGCTGGAAATTTCTGAGCCACTATTGTAGCAACGCACCAAGCGCCACGTCCCTCCCAGGATCGCAGCGCCTGATTCAGATCTCCCTGTGGGGCGAGCCGAGCACGGCCCAGCTCTGTGCTCTCCACTAATCTGTACTTCCACACCTAGGGGTGCGGGTGCCCTGCCAGGCTGCCCTGGTCCTATCGGCTGGAGGCCCTCACTTCTCCCAGGTCTCTGGGCAGGTGTTCATAGTCCCTGGGCGATTTTTTCCCAGTCCAACTAGCCAATCTGTTCCTTCTAGCAACACGTTCTCCCCTGCAGTTGCTCACCGCCCCCCTGCCCCATATTCAGGGGAGGGAGCAGTGACTTCCCTCTCCAGGGAGCCCTGGGGCAGACCCCCAGAGCACCGGGTGGACCTGGGTTCTGCACACCCCTAGACCCCATGCTGATCCCTGGTCCCCTTTTGTCCTGTAGCAGTCTCCTTACCGTCTGGTTTTCCAGTGAGTGCAATAATTTTTGATGTCCTGCTTTCAAAAGTGATTCGGTAACCTAACCCACTTGCTCTGTTTCTCCACCGATCCGCGAGTTTCCCCGCTCTTCACAGAAGCCAAGAAGAACGCTGCCTAGAGTAAAGCCGCCATCTTCCGTCTCTGACAATTTTTGTTAATTTTTAAATGCTTACTTTCTGCCAGACATTGTTCAAAATATATCATTTGCATTATTTCATCTAGTCCTTTCATTTACGTGTGAGGTCAATATTGTGTAATTCAAAATGTTTCAAGTGATCTGAATAATCTAAAACCAAACTTTTCTATTAAACCCAACATTTTTACAAAAGTTTTGTTTTAGATTATTCTCAGACTTAAAGCAAGTTCATCGTGCACACAGCTGAGGACAAAACTCACTGCAGTTCTTGCTTCTTTTTTTAATTGTATCATTTTTGTACAAGTAAGTAAGTAACAAAGTTGTGCTTAAAAATCAAGTATATACTTAAAATAAATTTGAATAAAATATATTCATTTAATTAATCCTATCTAGATGGTAACTTTCAGACTTAAAACAGCTTTATGCTTTTTCACTGTCACTAAAACACCATGATCATTTATTTAACAACAGTTCTTAATTGCCAATTTTATTGTGCCTTACAGACTTCAGTTTTGAATTAGCTGCTTGTTATTTTGATAAACTGAGTTTGTTTTATCACTATCATAGTAGTGCCCCCCCTTTTTTGCCTTAATCCCTGGATGGTATCATATTAACAGAACATTGATGTTGTATGCCTATACCAGATAAAAAGAATGAGTTCACTGAGTTACATTCAGTGATAAATCAAGAATAGAGGAGCACTTTAAGTACTAAAGAGCAAAAATTCATATTTCAGCCAGATGTCCAGGGTTTAGTTTTTCTAGTTTACAGACTTCTTATTGCATCTTGTTTCTGTTCCTGACACCCTGCAATCTGTCTTCTTGCTGCCTATGAATACCTATGCCAGAGGGCAGCAGTGGGGGGAGCATAAATCAAACCCACCAGTCCTGATGCTCTTGAGTAACACCAATTATATAGCCAATAAAAAATAATGAAATGTCTTTTTCACGCAGATGTCTTGTGTTGAATAACAGTAATTAGTGATGCTTGAAATATATAGTACTTTGCCCTTATTATTTTAAGTTATATTAACCACTGACATTTACTTGTAAGGCAAATATTTTAAGTCATGGATTTGAGGCTGAGAGAAGTCAAGGATTTGCTAAAGATTTACAGATATAGTTAACATTAATGGAAAAACTAGAATACTGGAGTTCCAGCCAAGATGGAGGTGTAGGCAGAAATGTTTTACTTCCTTGTACAACCAAAACAAGGATAACTAATAATTTAAAAACAAAGAACAACCAGAACTGCCAGAAAAACATTTGCATGGAAGTTCAACCACCAAGGAGTTAAACATTCATCTAGATAGTAGGAAGGGCGGAGACGGGCAGCTGGAAGGAGAGGACAAGCAGCAAGGGGCAGCTGGAGGATGGGATGGGCAATCCCACATTCACACACAGACAAGCCTGAGGGAACAGTGGGGGACCTCAAAATCCAGGGTTTCAGTATGGGAAACTAAAGACTCAAAACTCCAGACTTTCTAAAATTTGTGGTGATTGTGGCAGCAGGAAAAACTCCTAGCCTCACAGGAGAGTTCTTTGGAGAGACCCACCGGATCCTAAAACATACACAAACCCACCCACCTGCGAATCAGAACCTGAAAGGGCACAAACTGCTTGTGGGAAGTGAAGGAAGTGATGGAAAGTGGGACAAGAGCTGAGCAAGCAGCATTGTTCCCTCTCCTACCCCTCCCTCACAGACAGCACCCCAATGGCAGTAAAGAAGGTTGCCCCTGGAGAATACCTAAGGTTCTGCCTCTTACATGTAACAGGTACACCAAGACAAAGAAATATGGCCCAAATGAAAGAACAGATCAAAGCTCCAGAAAAAGAAATTAGTGACAAGGAGAGAGACAACCTATCTAATGCAGAGTTCAAAACACTGGTAATGAGGATGCTCAGAGAATTGATTGATCTCAGTCACAAAATGAAGGAAGAAATGAAGTCTACACAAAGTGAAATAAAGCAAAACATACAAGGAACCAACAATGAAAGGAAGGAAACTGGGACTCAAATCAATGATTTGGACCAAGAGGAAGAAATAAGCATCCAACTAGAACAGAATGAGGAAACAAGAATGCAAAAAAAAAAATGTGGAGAGGCTTAGAAACCTCTGGGACAACTTTAAGCATTCCAACATCCAGATCATAGGAGTGCCGGAAGGAGAAGAGGAAGAGCAAGATAATGAAAACTTATGTGAACAAATAGAGGAAAACTTCCCCAATCTGGCAAAGGAAATAGACTTCCAGGAAGCCCAGAGAAATTAGACCCAATGAGGAGCACAACAAGACGTATCATAATTAAGTTACTCAAGATTAAAGATAAGGACAGAAAGCAGCAAAAGGAAAGAAGAGAGTTACCTACAAAGGAGTGCTTATAAGGCTATCGGCTGATTTATCAAAAGAAATCTTGCAGGCACAAAGGGGCTGGAAAGAAGTATTCAAAGTCATGAAAGACAAAGACCTGCATCCAAGATTACTGTATCCAACAAAATTATCATTTAGAATGAAAAGGCAGATAAAGTGCTTCTCAGATAAGGTCAAGTTAAAGGAGTTCCCCATTGCCAAGCCCTTATTATATGAAATGTTAAAAGGATTTATCTAAGAAATAGAAGATCAAAAACTATGAACAGTAAAATGACAACACACAACTATCAATGCCTGAATCTAAAAAAACAAAAACAAACTAAGCAAACAACTAGAACAGGAACAGAATCAAAGAAATGGAGATCACATGGAGGGTTTTCAGGTAGGAGAGGAAGGAGGAAAATGGGGGAAAGGTACAGGGAATAAGAAGCATAATAGACAGGCACAAAATAGACAGAGAGAGATTAAGAATAGTATAGGAAATGTAGAAGCCAAAGATCTTATATGTACAACCCATGGACATGAACTGTGCAGGGGAGGGGGAATGCTGGAGGGTGATGGGGGCAGTGCAGGAAGGAGGGGTAAAAAGGGGAGAAAAAATTGGGACAAGTATAATAGTATAATCAATAAGATGTACTTTAAAAAAACTAGAATACCTCTAAATATTCTTAGATGTGAAACAGGAAATATCACCACTGTGCAAACCAATTTGTGCATTCCAAATAAGATATTCTTAAAAGATGGCTTTTCTCCCTCTCCCTCGCCCCCTTCAAACTACTCTAGTAGGGCCACCTTCATTATGCAGTGGTCTCCAACTATAAGAGTATACATGGCGAACATTCAGTCAACAAAAGTATTCTTTATACCAAAAGTCCCAGGAGCAAACTGCAGTACATTCCAGTATGTAGCACACTTGCTCACAGTACCATTCAGCCTCAAGTCTACATTTAGATCTTTCTTTGTGTAGGACATGAATATCCCTATGGAATTAAAATGAGCCATCTTCGAGACACTGCACTCCTGACACAGGAATCAAAGGACTCCACCAGCCCTTCTAACCTCCAGGAGCCCTTCCTCATGGAGCAGCTGCCACGGGAGATGCAATGCCAGTTCACCCTGAAGCCCAGCCGCCTGGCTGCAGCCCGACAGCTGAGTGGTGAGTTACTTTTCTTTCTTCATAGAGCCTTTTTTTTTTAAGAAAAAGTCTTTATTCAGTTTTGAAAACAAAATTTGTACAGAGGCAAAGACTCAGACTTCCACCCAGAAGAAATTATTTTTTCATTTGAATTTGTATTTTGAAATAAAAAGTTTAGAAGATAGTTTTGTAAATCAGCAGTAGATGTGACTAACTTAGAATGAACAGTACAGGCTGTTCCTTCTTTCTTCACTATTCTTTCCCCTTTAACCTTATGCCCACTGCAGAGTCAGAGGCACCAGGCAACACTGCAGGTGCCTCAATGCCTTCTTTGTACTATAATACATTGCACTGTGTGTTCCCCCTAAAGAGGCATATTATAAAAAGTAGGCTTTCAGTGATGGCTGTCAGGAGGCTGTGATGCCCTACGTGGATCCTGGTATTGATAAATATGTGAGACTAACATGATTTCCACCGAAATCTCTCCTTAGTCTACTAGTCTAATCTGAATTCCCCATCACATCCATCACTAACCCATCCATAATAAAGAATGATAAAGTGATATTTAGCATAAGAGGATCATCATTAACCCTAACTCAGGTTTGAGCTTTAAGCCCTTAGTCTGAAAATAAGATTATATAAGAAATAGAAGAAAAAGAATACCAACAAGTGTGAGTGAAATAGCAGAAAATCAATGCTGAATTTCTATAGCTGCCTTTTTTACCAACTGAGAGACCCAGTGAATGGTGGCAACTATTTTATATATACCTCCCCACATGTGAACATCCAACTTCATCTTTTATTGAATTTTTGAGTTACCTTGCTAACATCAGCTGTAAAACTTACCTTACACTTGACCTAATCATCTTCTCTCCCATAATGGTAAACTGAGTTCTTGAAATCTAAGGTTTTTTACTCACACCTCTGGACCATTTTGAAGGGGTAATATAGAAATGTTGTAGCTTTTTGTCCACTAAAATCCATGAAGGGACAGATTTTGGTCTGCGTTGTTCACTGCTGTATTCTCAGCACCTGAAACAGTGCCTGACATACATAAATAAGAACTCAAATATTTTTTAATGAATGAATTTATTAATAGGTCTGTCTTTTGTTACTACTGATTAAAGATACAAAGGAATCATTTCCTTTCTAACTAAGCTGAGGAGAATAATATTTTACTCTTCACCTTTATACCCATGTTTTTCAAACTGTTTCTCTGGGTCTCTTGTCAATTTTATTTTAATTAATTTTACCAGTAACCAGGGATCAAGAATCTGAAGAGCCACAACTAGAATAAAGATATAGCTTTAAATCTCCATTTCTAAGGGAGGCTTTCTCTAGTTAGATTAAGGAAAATATCCCATTATCTCAAGTAACTGTAGGTGAACATAGGCATCCACAATCTGTTTTTCAAATTTCTCCCTCAGTGTGAGGAAAATCTACTGTCTACTGTAATATCATAGTGAAAACAGAGTAGCAATGGGCCTCTCAGAAGGCTACCCCTGCAACTTAAATCACTGTAACTCAGCCTTCAGGTGGCTGGTCCCCAGTGAAACAGCTCTAGTGTTAATTGAGGATTCAGGATATAAACATTAAAGATCTTATCTCAAGACCCTACTCAAATATCACTTCCAGGAGATCTTTGTTCCTCCAGACAGGTAGTTGCTCCCTTCTCTGTGTGTGTATAACAGTTTTTTACATGTCTCATGTAACACATAAAACATTGCATTGTGATGATCTCTTTACATGTCTCATTAGATTGTGAGCTTGCTTAAGGCCTGGGAACTCATAGCAGGGCTTAGTCCAATAAATGGAACAGAGAAGGTCAATGAAAGATTAAGTGGCTTAGGCACACCTATTATAGAAAAACTTGAGTGGAGCAGAATTCTGTTGTTGAAGTGGAATTTTTCCATGAATGGTCTAAAGTAGCTTCTGAGGTTCTAGCCCAAACTGAACTCCAGTTCTGCACCCACTGCAGGCTCTTCCACATGTGTGTTGACTCAGGGCTAATGGAACTGAATTTTTATGGTAGATGGTAAAATATGGGAAGCAACTTTTTCTTCTACCTGTTTGTCATATGATTCTAGTAGTCTCCCATACATATTTCCTACTCTGGAGTGGGGGGTAGAGGCAAGAGGGGGTATATTTAATTATTTGGCTAGAATAGAATTTCTAACTAAGGCTTTGTTGTTGTTGTTATTCTATAAATACAAACTATTAAGAATTATAATTTTTAATATTCAGTTCCTCAATTAATCATGAAGAAATACTAGCTGAATCTTGCCAGGATTCTTTAGGAAAGTTAGATTTGCATGAATTTAGTTCATGCTACATTTATATCACCCTTATGTTTCTAATAGCAATAGCATGATTTTCATCAATTTTTGGACATTTAGAAAGCAAGAGCTATGCATTGAAAGCTCTTTAAGAAAGTCAACTACAGACTTCCAGCAAGATGGAGGAATAGGTGAACGCACTGTACCTCCACGCACAACCAAGATTAGAACAACAATTTAGAGACAAAATAACACCCAGAACTGACAGAGAATTTATCTGAGTGGAAGTCAGACAGCCAAGAAGTTGAAGTAGACCCATTCATCCGGACCGGTAGGAGGGGTGGAGACAAGCAGCCAGGTGCAGCGCAGGTTGCAGTACTGGTCACAGCTGGGAAAACAGGGAGAACTGGGCGCATACGGCCACCAGGAGCATGTAAGGCTACCTGGGCACACAAGATTGTGCATCGACCCTGAGTACGTGAGTGGCAGCTGGCGAACCCAGTGAGGCGGTCATTGTGGACCAGGACAGAGTGCGCAGCCCAGGATCCCAGGGAAGGGACTGCGGTCCCAGGAGAAAGGGGCTACCGCCATTGTTCCCTCCCGCCCCCGCCCCCACATACAACATCACAATCTAGCGACTGGGGTGCCCATCCCCCGGTGAACACCTAAGGCTCCACCCCTCACCATAACAGGAGGGACCAGACCAAAAAAAAAAAAGAGAGAGAGAGGGAGAGAGATACATTTCTCAAACAGAAAAACAGATCAATGCCCCAGGGCTCATCCTTTTGAACGACCAAGAGATAGCCAATCTATCAGATGCACAGTTCAAAACACTGGTGATCAGGAAACTCACAGAATTGGTTGATTTTGGGCACAAATTACATGAAAAAATGCAGGTTACCATAAAAGAGATGAAGGAAGCTGCATGGAGAACCAATAGTGATGGGAAGAAAACTGGGACTCAAAACAATAGAGTGGACCAGAAGGAAGAAAAAAACAACCAAACAGGAAAGAATGAAGAAATAAGAATTCAAAAAAACGAGGAGAAGCTTAGGAACCTCCAGGACATCTTTAAACGTTCCAACATCCGAATTATAGTGGTAACAGAAGGGGAAGAGGAAAAGCAACAGATTGAGCACGTATTTGAACAAATAATAAAGGAGAACTTCCCCATTCTGGCAAAAGAAATCAACTTCCAGGAAATCCAGGAAGCTCAGAGAGCCCCAAAGAAGTTGGACCCAAGAAGAAACACACCAAGGCACATCATAATTACATTAGCCAAGGTAAAAATGAAGGCAAGAATCCTAGAAGCAGCAAGAGATAAGGGGACAGTCACCTACAAAGGAGTTCCCATCAGACTGTCAGCTGATTTCTCAAAAGAGACCTTACAGGCAAGAAGGGGCTGGAAAGAAATATTCCAAGTCATGAAAGACAAGGACCTATATCCCAGATTACTCTATCCAGCAAAGCTTTCATTTAGAATGGAAGGGCAGATAAAGTGCTTCTCAGATAAGGTCAAGTTAAAGGAGTTCATCATCAACAAGCCCTTATTTTATGAAATGTTAAAGGGACTTATCTAAGAAAATAAGATAAAGAAAAAACATCTATAGTAAAAGGACAGCAAACTCACAATTATTAACAATCACACCTAAAGCAAAACCAAAAGAAACTAAGCAAACAACTAGAACAGGAACAGAACCACAGAAATGGAGATCACATGGAGGGTTAGCAACAGGGGAGTGGGAGGAGGAGAGAGGGAGAAAAGGTACAGAGAATAAGTAGCATAGATTGTAGGTTGAAAATAGATAGGGGGAGGGTAAGAATAGTATGGGAAATGTAGAAGCTAAAGAACTTATAAGTATGACACATGGACATGACTAAAGGGGGGGGATATGGGTGGGAGAGGGTGTACAGGGTGGAGGGGAGTGAAGGGGGGAAAATGGGACAACTGTAATAGCATAATCAATAAAATATATTTAAAAAAAAGAAAAGAAAGTCAACTATAATGAAATTTTTTTCCTCTCAGTCCCAGAGGGAATATAAACTCTAAAACTGAATATTATACATAACAAAAGGCATGCCTGCAACTGAAACTATTTATAATATAGTACAGGACTCAATTTCTACTTGATGCTATATATCTACACTCATAGGATAGCTGGGTATATAAATTTATGATAAAGCATTCTTCCTAAGAAGCATGTAAAAGCTAAAAAATCAAATAAAACTGATAGTTTTAGAAATAATGAAGCCAGGTTAAATGTGAGGAAACTAGACTGAATACAACTACTCAACATATACACACAAAAATTAAAGAAACATTTGTACAAAGTGACATTGCTAGGAATACTGGAACCCCCTCCTGTATTTAAGAATTAGTTTAGTTTTCTTTTATGGTTTTTCAAAATGGAATAGGTTAGGAATGTCAGAGCAAGAAGAAAGTACTCTAGTTAAGCAGATTCTTGTATTTCTTCCTGTCCACATACTTCAAAGGCTGTTATGGCAAATGGAGAATGGGTGTAGGGAGAAGTTCCTCTTCATGGGGAGGAAACTGTTGTCTTAGCAACTTTAATTTTAATCAAGATCACTGTGACCCATGCCCTGGGCAAAGTAGTACATTTCATATATTATCCTATTTAATCCTTTCAGTAAGCCTTTGACAGGTAGGTAATATCATTCTTATTTTAAAGTTAAGTAAAGAGTTTAAGTTACCCAAGTAAATGTCAGAGCCAAGAGTCTAACTGGGCTCCTGACTCTAGAACCAAAGACCTTTACACTTGGGTGTGTGAACACTGATGATGCATTTATGCATCCTGAGAAAGCCAAGGGTAGATGGTGGTCTGAAGGCCATTTGGTAAAATGTTATTTATCTCCTACAACTTGGCTCTTTTAAGCCTTTGGTTTAATTTGGTTATTCTTCTTTTGGGAGGGGTAATTTTATTTTTATTTTTTAAAATTATTTTATTGTTAATTATAGTTGTCTGCATTCCCCCCCATAACTTCCCCCTCGCACCCCAGCCATCCCCAACTCCCTATTCTGAGACAATAAAATATTTATTTGAAATGAGCATTTGACACTGCAGACAATGTCCACCCTGAAAAGATCATCTCCTTCAGCGTGCCATCACCAGGGAATGTGGTCACCTCTGGTAGTTTGGTTGGCTCTCTGTGCCACTCAGCCAGCATTTAATGACCAACTGCCACACTCTCTCACTGGAGAAAATGGAATCAAACCCTGTATGGGTGCCACCAAGGATGATGGCTCCCCAAATCTCAGCTCATTAGCCTTAATCACAAGCTATTTTGAATCTGCTTTACATGTGGGTGCTTCAGGGGTCTATAGAAATTTGGGCAAATTATACACAGCATTTGGGATTCCCAATAATTTACTATTCTCCTCCTAGAATTTTCCCTCCTTGCTTTTCAGCTGCTGTGGTTAGCTCCACCTCCGTTCTCTAGTTCTCCAAGCCAGTGGGAGTGAGGTTTCTCTCAAATTTTAGTCACCCCACCACCCTACGGCCTGTGCTTGGACTAAAAGCTGTAAGAATAGAAAACCAACCCAGTGCCATGCCATGCCTTTTTTCCATGTGTAACACTTTTATCCCAAGTATTTATCTTCTTTTGGTCCCTCTTTATTCCCTTCAGGTAGGCTTTTTTTAAATGTTGTTCAGAGTTTATAGTTGATAACCTATATATAGGTATTAGGGCTCTGGGACAGGAGAGGGTGGTAGAAAGGTCTGAAAGGATCCTTAAAAAGTTGTCTTTATTTTAAATATCAAATCATATGCAATGGGACTTTTAGTCAAGATGGTAGCATAGGTAAACACAGCTCGCCTTCTCACACAACCCATAAAAATTACAACTAAACAACAGCCATCACTCGGAACTATCAGAAATCAAGTCGAATGGAAGTCTGACAACTACAAAATTAAAGAAATCATGTCCATCCAGACTGGTAGGAGGGATAGAGATGCGGAACATGTGGTGGATAAAAATTTGATAGGAATATCTTGGGAGCAAGGAGTCCCAGCCCCACACCAGGTCCCCCAGCCCAGGGTTCTAGTGACAGGAAGATAAGTCACCATAACTTCTGGCTGCAAAAACCAATGGGTACTGAGTTGATGGAAGAAAGTTCTAGAGTCCCAGGAAGTTCCTCTTAAAGAAGTCACACATGGACTTACTCAGATTCTCTCCCTCTGAGCTCTAATACTGGGGTAGCAGCTTGAAAGGTACCAGTGGGATACAGGGAGGTACTGAAGTGTCTGCAATCAAAGTGAGGGCTGAGGCGCAGCTTTCTCCCAGACAAAACAGCAGGCAGAGGTCATTGTTCCTTTTCTGAATCTTCTCCCCACAAAGCCATAGAGCCAACAGGCAGATGCCATCTCAAGACTCCATCAACCTGGCAAATACTGTTTGCCCTGCCCTGGAGATCCCCTGAGACTCCTTCCCACCCAACTTATGGACCCACCCAAATTGTTAACAGAGATTTTCCATATGAATGGCTGGTCTAGGCTCATGCTTCACAGCTTACCAAATTCTCTCAAACAAGCAAAAGCCAGCCTCAGTGAGTCCTCAGCCCCTGTACCTCTTGTTAAGTTGCCATAGGCCAGGCACTAGAAGCAGATAGCCCAGATTCACAGCTTGGCTTCACCTGGGAACCTCCAAGGCCAGCACAAATAACAGCCATCTCAGATTGCTTTGTAGCCCTGGAAGAGTGGCCCCAGGAAAAACACAGATTGGGGCTGACCTTGCCCTACACCACCTGGGAAACCCCAGAGCCTGCACACCCAGTAGACTGCAACAGACCATGTCAGAGTATCACCACCCTGCCTCCATGCAGCTGATAATCTATGGAGGGCAGAAGTTGGTGGTCAGTGGTCACAGCCAGTCCTTGCATCTGCCTGGACTGGGTAAATCCCTCCAATTGACCTGCCAATAGCAATCAAGTCTCAACTATAAGAAGGGGGTGTACTCAGCCCACACAAAGAGCACACCTTGAGTACCCAGCTTGGTGGGTAGGGGAGGCTGTGCCATTGGACCCTACAGGACACCTACTGCATTAGGCCCCACTACCAAGACAAGGAGGCACAGCAGTCCTACCTGAGACATAGAAACAAACACAGGGGGTCTGCCAAAATGAGGAGACAAAGAAATATGGTCAAATGAAAGAACAGATAAAAACTCCAGAAAAAGAGCTAAATGAAATGGAGATAAGCAATCTCTCAGATGCAGAATTCAAAACACTGGCTATAAGGATGCTTATAGAACTGAGTGAGGACCTCAGCAGCATAAAAAAGACCCACTCAGAAATGAAGGATACACTAATTGAAATAAAGAACAATTTACAGGGAAACAACAGTAGAGTGGGTGAAGCTGAGAATCAAATCAATGATTTGGAACATAAGAAAGCAAAAAACAACCATGCAGAATAACAAGAAGAAAAAAGAATCCAAAAAGTGAGGATAATGTAAACAGCCTCTGGGACTGCATCAAGTGTTCCAACATTTGCATCATAGAGGTGCCAGAAGGAGAAGAGAAAGAGCAAGAAATTGGAAACCTATCTGGAAAAAATGACAGAAAACTTCCCTGATTTGGTGAAGGAAATATACATACAAGTCCAGGAAGCACAAAGAGTCCCAAACAAGGTGGATGCAAAGAGGCCCAGTCAAAGATACATCATAATTAAAAGGCCAAAGGTTAAAGACAAAGAGAAAACCTGAAAAGGAGCAAGAGAAAAATCAGTCAGTCACCTACAGGGGAGTTCCCATAAGACTGTCAGCTGATTTCTCAAAAGAAACTTTGCAGGCTAGAAGGGATTGGCAAGAAATACTCAAAGTCAGGAACCTACACCCAAGATTTCTCTACTCAGCAAAGATATCATTTGGAATCGAGGGGCAGATAAAGAGCTTGCCAGATCAGAAAAAAACTAAAGGATTTCATCCATTATTATATGAACCACTATTATATGAAATGTTAAAGGGACTTATTTAAGAAAAAGGAGAAAATCAAAATTATGAATAATAAAATGACAATAAATACATATCTATCAACAATTGAATCTAAAAAACAAACTTAGCAAACAAGAAGAGAGACAGAATTATGGATATGGAGAGGGTTTTGATGGTTGCCTGATGGGATGGGGGAGGGAGAGAATGGGTAAAGAGGTGAGGGGATTAAGAAGTACAAATAGGTAGTTACAGAATAGCCATGGGAATGTAAGGTACAGTTAGGAAATGGAGTAGCCAAAGAACTCATGCTCATGACCCATGGACATGAACAATAGTGGGGGGATTGCCTGAGGGATTGGAGGTGGGTGATGGGTGGAGGAGGCAAAGGGGAAAAAATTGAGACAACTGTAATAGCATAATTAATAAATGTAATTTAAAAATATAAATAAATATCAAATGCTGTGCACACCCATCTATTTTTATGTTAAAATTAGAGACAGATGACATCAGACATGTTTTAGCACTATGATATTACAAAATCATGATTCTCAGTTGACCTCTCTTATGCATTTTTTATTAATGTTGTCTTTTTATCTTTTTCCTCCTAAATCTCTTCTTAATTCAGTTATTATTCAAGAAGGATTTATTGAGTGCTTACTGATTAAATGTTAGGCAGGATGCTAGATGCTCTGTTAAAGTCTTGTTCATTTGAAATTCAAATAAAATTCCAGTGCCTCCTGGATCACACCTTCCCACCCAATGGGCAGATGTGCTTTCTTATTCTTCTGAATGACTCTGATACTTTGTTCCTCCCTTATGATATTTTATTATTAATATACTTGCTGCTTCTCCCCCACCACCACCAGTCCTGTTTCCCTCTTAGATTATAAATTTTGCCATGGCGAGGGCAAGTATTCATGTTTGCAACCATCCATGCTGCGTTAAAGGTTAAGTTGGGAACTGAAAAGATACCTGAAAATCTTTGCATTTGGAAGGAAAGGGGGAGAAATGGAGGACATTAGCTTCCTGTCTCAGTAGTGGAGTGGGACCTCAGGTAATAAAGCATTCTTTGTTTCAAGAGAACATATCTCCATAGAGACAACTCTCCTACTCCTCTACCTCCTTCCCCCATCTTTGCCTTTCCCTTCCCCTTTTACTCCTCCCCGTCTTCCTTTCCTTACTGTGTAATTGTGGTCTAATTTAATCTTCAACTTTTTTGTGTGCCTAGTCTCATCTTTAATGTGACAATATGCCTGTCTCCTGGCTAGCTCAGTTGGTAGAGCATGAGACTCTTAAAATGCAACAATATATATGTTGGTATGAAACACTTTTTGTTTTGTTACAGTACAGTAAGGGATCATTTCTTTCACCTTTGGAAATTCATTGTCAAAACTCATTTAAACAAACCAGTGATGTTCCAAACATGGATAAGAGAATAACCCAAATATTTGATTCTTTACTAATTTATAAAGTATTATAGTGAAACTTCATAGATTTAATTAATGGTAACAAAAGACATCTCTAAGCACTTTTTTTCTTTGAACCATAGTAATGAGCATAATATAAGATGGAACTGTAGAAATAAGATTAAGTGAATTAAACTAGTTTTTCTACTTCACTTCTTCCTTAGATTCGGGTCAGAAGACATTTAAAAGGCGAAGATCTATCATAAATTGGGCCTTTTGGCGGGGTTCTAGCACTCACCTGGATAACTTGCCCATGTCACCAACATCTCCTATGGCAGGACAGCTCTTTGGAGTGTCTCTGCCAAATATTTGTGAAAATGACAATCTGCCCAAACCTGTCTTGGTAAGTCTCATTCTGGCCTTAGCACCAGTGGGAAAGGAGAGGGCTCTGGAAGGTAAATCTATCCCCAAGTGGAAATATTATAGACATCCATGGCTTTGGCTGAGAATCTTTTTTACTATTTCAAAGAATAAAAATCTGATTGAGCTATTGCATAATCATAACTTAGACATCATAGGAAGAGATCATCTAGTATACTCTCACAGGAAAGAGCCATATAAGCTTTCTCAGATAATTTAGAATGTGCTTGGTAGACAGAGAATTCACATTATCCCTCACATTCCTCTCGCTTCCTTTCTTAAATTCTACATTGTTCTGAAAGCCTTCTTTAATTGCTTTAGCAGCAAAGATTACACAATCATATGCTTTTGAAAACCTTGCATGTGTTTTATTTGTATTTTGAGTGTTTATGCATAAAGGTGCATCCTCTGGCATGTAGTTATCTTTCTTGTATATTGTGGGTCAGATGAAGACCACCACTTTTGTCTTGTCTCCAAGTGATATAGTAAATGATCATTGCTAAGCAACATTTATCGAGCATCCAGTCTCTTCTAATTACTATACTAGATATATGGCTTTTACAGTATATTGTGCATCTATACGTGCCAGATACTAGCCTGCCACTTTATTGCTACCCCTGCACAACAGAGTTAGGGAGTAGTTAACATCGTTTTCATCATCCCTGCTGTACAAAATTTTTTTAAAGCTTCAAGTTTGCCCAAGATCACACAGTAAGTATGTGTTTTAACTAGGTTTCAAATCCAATGGGTTGCTTATCTACAACACCCATTCCTTTTCTTTTTTCCTTTCTTTTTTTTAATTGTTCTTCAAGTACAGTTGTCTCCATTTTCTCCCCATTACTCCCCACCACTCCAGCCGTCCCTCGTCCTACCCTCTATCCTACCCACGTTTGGCTTTGTATATGTGTCCTTTATACATGTTCCTTAACAACCCTTTCCCTTTTTCCCCCAATTATCCCTTCCCATCTCCCTTCTGGTTTCTCTTTGATCATATAAATCTTTCACCTTTCACCCATTCCTTTTCTACACTGAAAGGAGAGGATGTGCAGCTTAAAAGAAAGCAAAATGTAAGATTGATCAGAATGGAATGGAATGGAGAAGGCTTCCTGGGGTAGATATTTTTAGCCTGAATATTGAAAGAAGGAAGTAAATACAGGAAGGAGAATGACATATGAAGATGCATAAAAAGAAAGGCAAGCAAGTGGGGAAGGAGTTTGAGAATAATATTTCCATATTTGGGGAAAGAGTTTGTATTAGAGAATAATCGGAAAAGAGGGGAGAGAGAGGAGACCAGTTAATAGATACCTTGAAGCAGTCAGAAAATTTTTATTTTAAAGTGGCTATTAGTTCATTGAAACAAGATAGTCTAATTAAAGCAAGTGTTTAAATTAAAAATGTTTTTAGATGTTGAGTAAATAGAAAAAAAGATATTTAGAGATACCAACAAATAAATTGGCTTTGGTCCTTCTAGCAGTCCTTGAGGACTTTCCCCAGTATATCCCAGCCTCTGGCAGCTGAGAGTGCTTGTATGTGTAAAGTGCCATTGCTTTTTCTCTGCTTCCCCATAGGATATGCTTTATTTCCTTAACATAAATGGACCCCTCACAAAAGGAATTTTCAGGCAATCAGCCAATATGAAATCTTGCAGAGAGCTGAAAGAGAAACTGAATTCTGGAGTTGAAGTACAACTAGACTGTGAATCTATTTTTGTAATAGCGTCTGTTTTAAAGGTAGGAAAAGTTCTCCCTTCATCTACCCCACAGTGAAGCTCTGAAGAAAGACAATGGGTTTCTTTCATTATGACATTATTCCCATTTGCAAAGAACCATAATAGATTAAGAATCTAAAAAGTATTAGAAATGCTTCACAAAGTCAAGATTGTCCTTTACAAGCCACTGCTAATGATATGGCATGCCTGTCATGCCTTTTAAAATGTTTTATTCCACACCACTCTCCTCATCTTCACTTCTGCTATCCCCCCACACACACACAAATTAAGTTAAATTAAAAATTATCAAAATATATACATGTTTACCAAAACAAATATCCTGATTATAACTTTCTCACAATTTTTCAAAAATAAACTTTACTAAATTTTGAGAAAAAAATTTACCATACAGACATTTGCCTAACAACTAAAACAAAATTGCTTTCCAAGACCACAGAAAATTCCATTCACTTATACAACTCCTTGTACCCTAATGCGTCTTTAAAGTAAAAGTGGAATATGAATTACTCCTATTCCCCTATTATTCCTATTATAAAAACCCTTCCCACATTTGACATTCCTATGGTTCTTACCTTCACTCCACAGTTACTTAAGTCACATCCATAGTTGGGTTAGAGCTCTTCTAAAATGTTTTCCTCCCACATTCCTGAGAATGCCTTACATTTTTAGAAAATAGTTAACCCAGCTATTAGGAGAGCTTTCGACCCTAGCAATAGCTTCTGCAGACCTGCCTCAGTCTCCCATGTCCCAGCAGGGTGGGAATGCACCATGCCAGGGATAGAGACGAGGCCCCACCCTGCATCCCAGGGTGTGAAGCAAAGAAACAAACTAAGGAAAACATAGTGAAGAAGACTCTCACACACCCCCACTCCTGCTGGATGGTCAACTATGTACAGAATCTTAACTTCATGACTTAATGCACAGTCAGAGGTTTCTTGGTAAATAGGCCATGTCTACTCTTAAACAAACCCTGTTGAGTGTGGGCTTGAAGATTCACTCAGAAGAACTGGAGAGATGGAACTAGGTCATCTAATTTATTTTGCACAGGGTTGTGACTACCCTTCAACCTTGGAATACAATAAAGATATGTATGGTATGCTCAGCCAGATACATGTCAGGGATATATATATTCACAATGAATTTTTCTCTTTTTATCATATAATTAGGCTTTCTCCCACCTCTTAAGAAGTTAAAACCTATGTTTTAGAAAATTTTCCTTACTATGCTGTTCTTCACGGCACCACACTTCTTAAAATTTTATGCTAAATTATTGAGGCTATTACAAAGTATAATTTGAGAAGAGTTTTATAGTATTACAAATTATAGAAATATTACTTATACAAAGATAAGCAAAAGATGAACTCTAATCCAAATAATTGAAAAGTCTGGTTAAATAGGTTGCAAGTAGTTGAAGTTTTATAATCACTGGACTGTTTTTTACTCTCACATCTTCCAAGTGGTTGTAGGACAGGAGATCTCTTTTCCAAAATATTTTGAGCTTTTGTTTTGTTTGTTTTTAAGACTATTTAGAAGTGGTACTTTAGTTTTCCTTTAATTTCTTACTTATGCTGGTTTGCTTAAATATAAGTTGAACTCTTTAAACTATACTTGAAAGAAAATTGCTTGAGACACTGTAACTTTGATCCATCAGAACTTTGAGAGAAAGTTCATTTTTAATCTTGCAAGAACCTCCTCTCAAATGAACTTGGTGGTTCTGCTGATGACTTGGGCTCTGATTTTGGAGGGGAGGAGACTTTCAGTTGAGTGCTGTGAGTTGGTGATTGTAATTCAGAACCAGCTCTCATATTCTTTCTCATCTGTGATGGTGGTTGCATTTCGTAACTTGTTATTCCAGCTGTGGAGAGTTCATTGAGATGTTACGACCTATTATCTTTCAAGTGTAGGTTCAAGATTTAATGATGTTTTTCTTCAAGACAGATCATAAGTATGTTTTCCACTGAGATTTAAAAAAAGAGCTATTGTCACTGCCCCACTTTGAAATAATAGATTTTTGCCTCTTCTAAATCTGACTTTTAAAGTAGGTGCAGCAACTAAAATTAGTTTGGAATTATGAAAATTCAATAGCTTTACCCCAAAAGAGGTAACTTTTGTAAAGACACATCTGAATCACAGGCATCCAGCTACATTTCTACTGGAAGATAACAATAGAAGAGTGAAAGATGTAATTCAACAGAATGGATCAATCGTCTTTCTGCTTGTTAACCACTCTTTAAAAAATTTTATCACAATAGGGGACATGACTGCAAAGAGGTTTTTTTAAATGAGCTTAGAATCTGTTCATAGCTATTTGGCCTTTCCTTGTCCCTCATTAATATTTGCCCATATAACATAAAGCACCAATTCAGTAATGACCACTCCTGTGTCTGGGACTGCTTGGCACTGAAATGTGCAAGTTGAGACAGAGGGGCTACCCCTGCCCTGGAGGAGCTCAGAAGTTAGTGGGAAAGATACACATATGATCAGCTAACTATAACAATAAGGTATCGCTGCTTTCATATTAGTGATACAAACATGACACATAAGTAACAAGTTATGTGTTGCCTTTTGTAAAACACATAGGTAAAGTTGCTGATTTGTTTTTCCAGCAATATTTAAATTGCTCAATTTCAGCTTTCGCCTATCTCCAGGTTATAAGCAGGAACTTGAAAAATAAGAGCCACCCATGGGTACAGTGCTTCGACATGAAATTGTTTTTCTCTGCCTAAAGCTTCCTGAGGTGGAGAGCAGACCATGCCAAAAAAAAAACAAACAAAGGGAATTGGCTTAGAACAGAAATGAACATAGGACCAGAATCAAATTTAGTTTATTTTTAAGCTTTTTATAAACAAAGGTTGAACAACAAACACCTTTGGCCATATACTGCTTGTGTTATAGTCTGGTTTCACCACACCCAGGCCCACCAGGGGTTTCAGCAGAGTAGGGTCTTGAGTGCCAGGAAGGATGATGTGCTAGGGACATGTTATTTAATGAACAACAGGCATGGGGGTAGTACCCCAGGCCCCCAGAATCCAACCATTACCAGTGATGCTTCCTCCCCCAAATAGTAAGAGCCTTCTATGGGGAATACAGGGAGAAACTCTTAAGTACCTCTAGATGGAATTATTCACCAATACCACTAGAATGTAAAGTTTGAAAATAACAGGGACTTTGTTTCATTCACTGCCTTGTCCCTAGCACCTCAAGCAGTACCTGGTACATACGAGTAAATATGGATAGCATGGTTGGATAAGTGATTACAACATTATGAACCTCACAGATATCTTCATGTATTTCTTTGAACTAGTGATGTGAAAGGGGGGAGGGGGATTTAGAATGATTTGTCAGGCCCTGTTCACATGGTATTAGTATATCACATGTACACAGACAGGGCCTTTCACCCCAAACAGGTTGTCCAGTATATTTCACTGTGTAATCCAGATTCCAGTTTTGTTTTGTTTTGTTTTGTTTTTTTTCTAACAAAAACTCTGGGTTTTGTTAGAAAAAAAATCAAGCATGTGTTTCTATGTATTCACACCAGTGGAGAGTTGGCACAGAGATCTGTGTATTCCAAAGAAGGGAAAACTTAACTGAACTTTTCAACAAAATATATTATAATTTCTTTAATACATATTTAGGATGAGAATAATGATTTAAAATATTTTTTCTCTCTCTAAGGACTTTCTACGAAATATTCCTGGAAGTATTTTCTCATCAGATCTCTATGATCACTGGGTCTGTGTAATGGATCAAGGAGATGATGAAGAGAAAATAAATACAATTCAAAGGTAATTATTCTAATTTGGTCATGTCTCAAAAATACTTTTTAAAAGCTTATATTTTATAAGCTTGTCTATTAAAGTAATGATTAAAGTAATGATGATTATCAAAATTGTATCCAGGGGAATCAGTTTAAAAATAGATCTATGCTAACTACTGTCATTATTATTGTTTTTTCCCTAATCTTATTAACATGGCATACTTGACCATTATACACCTTCTGTATATCTAAATCTGAGAAGAGCTGAAAACCATTAGACCAATAGCTAATACTAGAAACCTAAACTAAAACTTATGATCTTAATTTTGGTAAATATTTAACCAGACAACTCCTTATATAGCTCATGTGGCAAATGAATTCATATAGAAAAATGTTTGCTCTCTCAAGGAACTCTCAGTCTGGTAGAGGACATAGAGAAAACAAGAATTAGACTTACAATGTTGATGAATTTCTGGTGAATATGGTGTCATAGGCAAACATGGCTCACCTCTTTGCACAACCACATCAAAATTACAACTAAAATATAGCAATAACTATCACTCAAGAATGTCAGAAATTTAGTTGAATGGAAGTCTGACAACTACAGAATTAAAGAAACCACATCCATCCAGTCTGGTAAGAGGGGTGCAGATGCAGAATGGGCTGGCCCAACATTCACGTGGATAAAAATTCAGGAGGGATATCTTGGGAGCAAGGGGTCCCAGCCCTACATCAGGCCCCCCAACCCAGGATTCCAGTGCCAGGAAGATAACTCCCCACAACTTCTGGCTGCAAAAACCAGCATGCACTGAGTTATGGAAGAAACCGCTGGAGCCTCAAGCAGCTCCTCAAAAGAACTAACACACAGACTCATATACTCAGACTCACTCCTTCTGAGCTCCAGTGCTTGGGTAGCAGCTTGAAAGGCACCAGAGGTATAAAGGGAGAAACTGAAGTATCTGACATCAAGGTGAACAGAGGCCATTGTCCCTTTTCTAAGTCCCCCACAGAGCCAGCAAGCTGGTGCCATATCTGAACTCCATCAACCTGGTTAACACTGTTTGACCTGCCTTGGAAATCCCTAGAGACTCTGCCACATCCATCTTTTGGGGCCCACCCAAGCTGCTTTTCCATAAGAATCGCTGGTCTTGGCTCCTAAATCCTATCAAACAAGCAACAGCTGCCTTCACTGAGCCCTAGTAGCAGCCAGATTAGATTCACAGCTTGGCTTCACCTGGGAATCTCCAAGCCCAGCATAAGTAGCAACCATCTCAGATTGCTTTATAACTCAGGCAGGGTACCTTGGGGCAAAACAAAGCTGGAGGCTGACCTTGGCCTGTACCACCCAGGAAACCTCAGGGCTAGCGCACCCAGTGGATGGCTATAGACGACATCAGAGTACCACCACCCTGCTCCTGAAGAACTGACCCTCCACAGAGGGTGGAGGTTGCTGGTCAGTGGTCACAGCCAGTCCTTGCAGCTGACTGGCCTGGGTAAATCCCTCCAATGACCTGCCAACAGCAACCAAGACCCCCATTGATCTGCCAACAGCAACAAGAGGAGTGTGTACTCAGCCCACCCGAAGGGCACACCTCGAATACCCAGCTTGGGTGATGGTGGAAGCTGTGCCATTGGACCCTACAGGACACCTAATACATTAGGACACAATACCAAGACATGGAGTCAAACCAGCTCTAGCTAATACACAGAAATAAACACAGGGAAGCTGCCAGAGTGAGGAGACAAAGAAAAACATGGCCCAAATAAAAGAACAGATTAAAACTCCAGAAAAAAAGCTAAATGAAATGGAGATAAGTAATCTATCAGATCCAGAGTTCAAAGCACTGGATATAAGGATGCTGAAGGAACTTAGTGAGGACCTCAAGAGCATAAATAAGATCCACTCAGAAATGAAGGATACATTAATTGAAATAAAGAACAATTTACAGGGAAACAACAGTAGAGAGGATGAAGCTGAGAATCAAATCAATGATTTGGAACATAAGAAAGTAAAAAAACAACCATGCAGAATAACAAGAAGAAAAAAGAATCCAAAAAACAAGGACAGTGTAAGCAGCCTCTGGAACAACTTCAAGCATTTCAATATTCACATCATAGGGGTGCCAAAAGGAGAAGAGAAAGAGCAAGAAATTAGAACTCTATCTGAAAAAATAGTGAAAGAAAACTTCCCTAATTTGGTGAAGGAAATAGATGTGCAAGTCGAGGAAGCACAGAGAGTCCCAATTATGATGAATGCAAAGAGGCCCACTCCAAGACACATCATAATTAAAATGCCAAATGTCAAAGATAAAGAAAGACTCTTAAAAACAGCAAGAGAAAAGAACTTAGTTACCAGATGGGAATGAGGAGAAGGAGAATGAATGAGGAGGTGAGGGGATCAAGAAGTACAAATAGGTGGTTACAGAATAGCCATGAGGATGTAAAGTACAGTATAGGAAATGGAGCAGCCAAAGAAACTTACACACATGACTCATGGACATGAATAATGGTGGGGAGATTGCCTGAGGGTGTTTGGGATGATGTGTGGAGGGGACAAAGGGGAAAAACTGGACAACTATAGTAGCATAATCAATAAAATATAATTTTTAAAAAATTAAAATTACAATGCAGTATAATCCATGCTATAAATGAGATATGGGGAGGGGATATTGGGGGAGTACTGCAGAGAAGCAGTTAACTCTTGAAAAGTGTCAAGGAAAAAGGGAGTTGCACAGTTACAGCCTGATCACAAGGAATGCATTGTCTATACTCATGCAGAGGGAAGTTGCTGGCAAAACTAACCCACACCCATTCTGTGATATTTCCTGCATTATCAGACAGTGGGAAAGAAGTGTCCACTTAAAAATATATATTGCCAGTTCTTTGAAAACCCAAGAATCCCAATGTCAGTTTTTGCATATAGTTGTTTGGTATAGTTTTTTCTTGTGCAACTTTATGAATTTTTATCTACACACTGCTATTGATAGACATCTCTCATCCATAGAAGAACATAGTATAGCTGTTAAAGAAACCAGAAATCAAAACCTCATAACAAAATACTATTATCTCTGCTTTGATATGGTTTGGTGGAAACCATTCAGAGGTAGGGAAGAATAGATGGTATACTTGTGGCTCATTGTCTAAAACTAAACACTACTGTTAAAGGATGATTTCTTTGTTTTTTTATTTAAATGTAAAATTATAACTCTTACACAAATATAAAATAAACACATAAAAGATTCAGTTTAAATCATTAATTAATGAGAGAACTGATAAAATGTTGAAACCAGTTCAAAGGAGATTTTAAACTACCACAATTTATGTAGTTGAATCAGAAATGCTAAAATGAATTTACAGATAGATGCAAAAACTGGCTTTCTGTACTGGGGCATAGAGAGGTAGAAGGAAGACACAAATAAATCATTTGTCTCCTCACCGAACAGAATTTTCAGTTCTATGGACAAGTATTAGGTGCTCTGCTGTCATTTATCTGCAACTAAGAGTTTGTAAAATTAGCTCAAAGGCATAAGACCTCCATAAATGAGATAACCCAAATCAGTGTGTGCTACACAATGTCTTACTTTCCACTGAATATACACAGTCATCTTTTGGTCCACTGCATTGTCTTTCATAATTTGTTCCTACAAAATTAACTCATTGTCAGTTTACTATACTGAAAAAATACCTCTATAATTTTTGCAACAGGAGTCAGACTAACTAATTTTCTCCTTGGTTGCAGATTCTTGTAAAAAAAAAAAGCAGCAACCATGAATATCAATATATATGTTTTCTGGATGGTAGTAAAAATCACTTTCAGTGAATGATAATTTAGAAATCCCTTATTAATTACAAAATAGGAACAATAGGAGACAGACTATGATGAACTTGACTTACATGTGGAAGTGATACTAGTGAGATGAGAATTGGGACTAAATGACTTTGGAAGCTAGGGAGGTAGAGCATAAGCTCTCAGAATGGACCTGGCAGTCTTAAATAGCTAAAAGATTGGGTTTCCTCCAGAGATAACAATTCTTGTGTTGCTACTTGGAAATAAAGGAGCACTTTAAGTTTAATGGTTGTTGAATTTCACCAGAAAGCATTTTGGGGGGTTTGGTTGAGAATATTATGAAATGTTACAGGATTTACCTAAGTTAAAACACATTATACTAGTTTCAGGTAAATATTTCAGGTAGCAAATTTTTTGAGTCACTTTTCTGCATTCTTTTACATTTTCATTAAGTTGTGAAGCCTATGTTCAAAATATAAAAACTAAATCCGCAGTGCTTATTTTCTCTCTTTCTGTACAGGTAGTCCTCACCCTGCATGGTGCCATATTAACTGAAACTCTTGCACGCCTGGACTGTGTTCTTGTTTTGCATGGGAAGCCCATGGAAAGTGAGGGTTGCCTCTTTATACAAATTTTTTTATGAAATGTTTTCCTTAAAGAGCTTAAAAATGTCTTGCATTTTTTTTCCATCTTTAGGCTATTAAACCAGCTTCCAAGCGCCAATGTTGTTCTTCTAAGGTACCTTTTTGGGGTGTTATACAACATCGAGCAACATTCCTCCTCCAATCAGATGACTGCATTTAATTTAGCAGTGTGCATTGCTCCAAGCATTCTTTGGCCTTCTACTTCCTCCAGCCCAGAACTAGAAAACGAATTTACAAAAAAGGTAATAGTTTTTCATTTTTATACCCTAGTGGACTGAATCTCCATTTAGAACCTAAAATTCAAGGTATTTATTCTGAAAGACATTTTCGTAATGTAAATTTGAGTTATTAATTGTTTTATCCTGTTCTGGTAAACTTTTAAAAAGTGATTTCTTAAGCAGGAGAATACTAGCAGTTGGGTTATTTCTCTTTTCCCTTTAAAGAGACAAAAAACTATGACTTAAACCATAGAGTAGTAAGAAAGCAGTTGACATGATTTTAAAAATAAACAAGGACTTTGAAGTTAGACAAGCCAAGGTTCAATTCTCAGCCCCATCTCTTGCCAGATGTACAGTCTTGGGCAAAATCAGTTATATTGATTCAGTTTCTCAACTGAAAAATGGAGGTGGTAATAATACCCAGCTCTTCACACTCCTGCAGTGCCTGGTGTTTAATACAGGGTGTGGGGATATTAATACCCTTTTCTCCCACTATTCTGCCTGCTCCTTTGTTTCAGTACTGGGGCAGGGAAACTAGTACATGTCAGTGGAAGCACAAAGCTCCTTAGTGAAATCCTACCTCTTTCCCAAGCATCTCCAGTTAGGGAGCTCAAGGGAAGGAAATGCAGAGGTAGAGAATCAGTCAGGCAAAATGCAAATTTTCTCTCCAGCTGTCTCTCTCCTTCACAGTAAACCCACAGAGGATGCCCTCTTCCCAAGTTTATGACCTCTGCCTTTTATATAAAAAATACATTTTATAAATCTTTATCTGATGATGCTTCATGAATTTTAATAACAAAGTGTATTTCTTCACCCCAAATACTATGTTGAGAATACTTAAAACTACTCTAATTTTAAAGACAGAGTATTGGAATAAAAATGTTAGCATTAGGCCAAGGTCACAAATAATAACTTTAGTCCACTGATTAAAATTAATTTCTATACATAAATTACTCTTGATAGTATCATAGTTTATTTAGGGGAAACTAGTTTGTATACTTTTAAAACAAACATGAAGTTTTCACAGGATTCTTTTGTATTTTTTGTTGAAATCAGGATTCATATATGAAACATCATTTATAGACATGCTATATGAAAAATAGCACTTTATTTTTATCCCTTTTGTGCAGGTCACTCTAGTGATTCAGTTTCTGATTGAAAATTGCTGTAAAATATTTGGAGAAGAAATCACTTCCCTCTTTGGAGAGGTTTCAATGAGATGTGATACTAGAGAGCATACCTCAGGTATTGTGAATAATTGGATTGTTTTATATGAAAAATAGGCACATGTCTTTGAAGACGGGGGAACAGTGATTGTCCTGGGTCCCGTAGCAGCTAAAGTGAAGGGAGCCACTAATCTGGGTCCATGGGCCTAGGGCTCCTTCATTAGGAAGCCTGCTAATACTAATTCTCTGGTGGGGTTAGAAGTGTGTAAGACAAGATCCTATACTTCAAGACATTTTTAGTGGTAGCATTTATGGTATGATGGTTTTAACCCTTTAAAAAAAAACTTTACAAGGAATGCTAACATATATAATAGAATGACTGTAGTTAGAACTGGAGTAGCAGGCTTAAAGGCAGTGAGGCAGACCTGGTCTTTCTCTTTCTCTTCTTTCTCTTATTGTCCCTGAGTCACCTCAGAACTTGGGTGTGCTATAAAACAGTTTAAAAAGGACCAGTATCATGGGTGTGGGTGGGAGCAGACTTGAAGACATTTAACCTTCTAGAATATGAATTCCTATGTCAACAATTACTAGTTATGTTATCTTTGGGCATTTATTCTGTGCCACTGTACATCAATTCTGTATCTATAAAATATGGATAACTATAACGTCTAACTTTTATAATTGTCTTAAAGATTAAATAAATAATGGGCATTAAAAAACTTTGTCAAAGAGAAATTGATAGTAAATGGCTCCCCTGAGACTAGAGAGTTAAGTATGTACACTCACCAGCAATCCACATGAGAAAGCATTCTTATTCAGAACCTGGGTATACTGGATATTGATGCCTTTATTTATTCTTTTTTTTTTTTTTTTGCCATTTCTTGAGATTACGACATGTCTCCTTGCTTTGAGGAAATCTTAGTTAAGGAAAGCACAGTTCTTCAAGAGCTGAGATAAATCTAGTATACCCAAACAATTTCATTTTATATTCTGCACTAACAATTAAAAAAGTTGTGAAAGAACCTTTTTTTTCTTGAGAGTAGAAATTTGAAAAATCTACACAAAAGAGGAACTAAGCGCCGTAAGTTTGTTTTTTGTTTTTTTTTTTTTAAGGCGGCATGTATTTGGAGTAAAAACCAGTGTTAATCATGGTTTGATTTTTTTTTCACAGATATCTCTTGCTTACAAATGACTGACTCCTCCTATGACAGCTTGGAAAATGAGCTGAATGAGGATGTTGATGCTCCATGTAGTGACCTGGTAAAGAACCTGGGTCATGGGAGCAGAAGCATGGACTCTGTCTTAACTCTTAGTGACTATGACCTTGACCAGCCTGATGTGGAAGGTCCTTTAACCCTCAGTGACTTTGACTTAGACCGTTCTAAATCTGAAGACATTCAAATGGAACAGCCTCTGGAATCCACACCGGTAACTGCTACAGTACTATACAGAAAGGCCCCACTGCAGGACCATGCTGGGGCCCCCTCTGGCATGACGGCCTGCAGCTATCTGTCTACAGCTACAGCAGATGCTCCAAAGAGCTCAAGGCGACATCGCCGCTGCTCGGAGCCCAGCATCGACTATCTAGATTCAAAGCTTTCCTCTCTCAGGGAGTTTTACCAGAAAAAGCTACGCAAGTCCAGCTATGATGCAATTCTCTCACAAAAAGATGAGGACCATCTAAAGCAGAATCAACCCCTACAGGGAGAGGATAAGAGGTATTTTAAACAGAGTTTAGTTACAGGCACTGATGTCAAGAAAAATGCCACTAATAAAAATGCTAAGAAGAAAGACTTGTTTGATAATGAAGGAAATCATGTGAAGCTTCTCCCTAAATCCAAGCCAGTGGCCATTTCTGTGGCATCTTACAGTCACACGTCCTCACATAATCATCCCAGTAACCAGCCCTTTGATGCAGATACATCCGGACACCCCTCACCACACACAACAGATGCTCTCAAAAGTTCAAGGAGGCACCGGCGCTGCTCAGAGCCCAACATTGATGACCAGCACTCCAAACTGAGCTATCTCAGGGGGATTTTTTCAAAAAAACAAAATAAAACTAGCTATGAAGCCAGTCACTTGCATGGAGAGGAGGATTATCTCAAACAGCACAAGTCTTTGCAAATGGAGGGGCAAAAGCTTATTAATCAGAGTTTGGTCATGGGGATCGAAGTGGGCAAAAGTAGTGCCATAAACCAAAACACTGAGAAGTTTTCACCCTCAACATTAAACATTTGCCCAAGGACTAGCTATTCTAGCTTGTCCTCCCCAGGCACTTCCCCATCTGGCTCATCAGTGAGCTCCCAAGACAGTGCTTTTTCTCAGATTTCAGAACATTCCGTGTTTACACCCACTGAAACTTCCTCTCCAATAGACTGCAATTTTCAGGCTCAAAGAAAGCAGGAAGAACTTTCTTCTGACTTTTGCAGTTCCAGTCTCATTTCTGGGCTGCCTGGTACCTCCTCAGAGCAGACCAGGAGCCGCCTGGCCTATATGAAAAAGGACACTGTAGAACGACATTCACAAATGCATTCTGTAACTCTTCATCCCAGCATGTGGCTAAGAAATGGTATGGCCAGTTTGAAAAACTGGTCCCTCAAAAACAAAGCAAAGGCAACCAGATCAGAGGAAAAGAAAATGGCTTCTCTACAAGGACCCAAGGAGCCACCTCCACCTGCTTCTGGTGTTTCAGAAGCCAACTCACTGCAAGAGAAACAGAAGGACATGCCCCTACGGGTAACAGAAGGACTTGGAGCTGTGCAGAAAGCCCAGCAGTATAGCACTGATCCCAGCCAAGTCTCAGAGAAACACATTGGCTCTCCATTCAGCCTAGTGGAAGACAGACTCAAGTTTTGTATGAAGTCACATGAGGAAGGAGAGAGGAGTGGGCAGTGCTCTCCTGGTTCTCTGCCTCATGCGAGTTCCTCTCCCAGCTCTTTGGTTGTGGATGATGTGTCCAGCCCAGGGTTAGGGCCTACAGTAATTGGTGATGTTGGGGACAAACCATCAACCAAGGACATTTTACCACAGTGAGAGCAGAAACTGGGCTAATAATGACATGAAGATAATAATTATTACCCTTTTTATAATATACCTGGGATAGGTAGCATAATTATTGCTAATACTTGGGACAACAAAATCTCTTTAATGAAACCATTTGGCAAAAAGTTCAGACTGAAAAAACAAATGTATCACCTGTGTTTGTGAGGCATTTTCTTATTAGAGCATGGGGTTGTTTGGTCCTGTCGTGTGATTTTAGAGATAACCAGCAGAGTTAGAGAAAGCATCTTCTGTATAGAAAACTTGCCTTATGTAAAATTAATCTCTTGAGAAGGCAAGGGAATCTTCACTTATGTGAAGAATGGGGATGGTGGAGAATGGGGAAGGGTACAGAGAAACCATCCATACTCCATAGAATGTCTTGAATAAATAGGCAAGAAAAATGCCACTAATCAAAGCATTGGAAAGAAAGGAACACCTAGTAATGAAGGAAATCATGTCAAACATTTCCCTGAATCCAAGCCAGTGGCCATTTCTGTGACATTTTATAGTCACATGCCCTCACAGGATTAGTCCAGAAAACAGCCCACTGATGTAGCTGACTGAAAAAAAAGTGGAATGATCCAAAAATCATGAGTATCATGATATCTTTTTTCTGTTTTTTTCTGTGTTGCTTGATTCTTTTTTCTGTTAGTGTTTCATTGCTTTGGAAAGGCTCCGGAAGACAGAGTTATGAAGAGAAAGAAGGAAATATTGCTCATCTCATTGTCCTTCCCACAGGTACTTGTGCTGGGAACATTCTCCCAAAATGCAGCTTTTCTGTGAGAAAGTGACCTGAAAGCATTCGTTACCTGAGTGTGGAGGAAGGCTGCAACAACAGTCCTTTTCTCTGTTACACGAATGCTGTTGCCAACATGTGATCAAAGTCTGGCTCCTCTTTGCCGAAATGTTTTTTCTGCAGCCCTGCCTCTTAGTGCACACAGCCAGAAAAAATTACGGATAAATCATCCTTTTTCTAATTATCATTTGGCAGTAGAGAGAGAACAATTTTAGGGGTTGCCAGGTTATGAAGAGTTGCAGAATAGAATACCCACCAAAGTGGCTGTCAGGCCTTCTTAATTACTGGCTTTGGATTTTCTTACCTCTGGAAGTTTTTATATTTTTTTCCCAAATGATTCATGGTTTACAGATAGTGTATACCCCATTGGTTTATTTTATACCCATGGATATTTCTCTTTTCTCTTGCCTTAAAGTTACACTAATATATCTCCTGGATTCTGTCCATTGATTATTATGCCTGGCAGCCTCTATGAAGGGATAGAGTCAAGAAAGGATGTGCATCTTCTTTCATTTAAACTTGTTACTTAGAAGTTGCTTAGAACCCATTGTGTCTCTTTAGTTCACCATCAGATGGATCTTTCTCCCACAAACTAGCTTATTCTGTATTATCTTTTTACCACCAGGAAACTTTCATGTCAAATATTCTTTCCCTGTTGTCCTAAACATTGCATTTCTTCAGTTATAGGGGGAGAAATATTTTCTATAAGATATAAAAAGTCCTTTCAGTATTAACTATCAGTGCTACCTACCTCTAGGGTACATGGCCCTGTTTGTCCTAAGCATTAAAATTAGCTTTTAGAACTCTGGGTCCAAAGAACTCCTTCATGACACTGGCTATCTCAGTCACAGATGTGAAGTAGATGTCACTTTCTAACTGACCACTCCTATACTTAGACTCCTAAGTGTCCATATGCATTTTTTGGTGGTATATAAAGGCAACAGGGATGTCCCTTACCCTTAGGGCAAAACTACTGTCAGAACTGCAAGATGTGAATGAAACTTCCAGCTTAGAATGTCTTTCTGGAAGAAATTTCTTCTCTACTTAAAAAAATAGTTCTAGCCTTTATATATATATATATATATATATAAATAGAAAATCACCTACCCAATTTGAAGCATAGAAGAAAATAGATGTTGAAGCTCTTAAATAACCATTCCTACTCTGTGTTCCCTTAGATATTACTGTATACTTAATGTGAATAGTTTGTTAATATTGCTGTAAAGTATTATATGATTTGAAGAACATGTCATTTTATTATACTCCGTCAATCTATAATATATTAGACTGATGCTTTATCTAAAATGCTTTGAGTTTGTATAATATATCTTGACAAATTTTACTATCATGTTATGTAATAAATGTGTATTTTTGTACTTGCAGAAACTGCTGCTAACTTTTAAAGTTGTTTGTTTTTCAAGGCACTGATAATGAAGATGTATGAAGTTCATGCAGTCTATTAAATAAAATATCCTCCAGAGTTAACAATCTTACCAGAGCAATATTGCCTTTGTAGAATTGTTTTTAGTTAATGAGCCCAATTTCTACTTAACATTGAAAATTTTATAAAATGTAATTAATATAGAATTGGAACTTTGAGCTTTTAATCATTTACCACAGTCTTTCTAGAAAAAAAGGTTGTTTTTTTTCTCTTATATTTTTCTAATCTTAACATTTACCAAATAGTCATGCTTTAGACACAGTCATCATTTTTTAAGTATTATGTTTTCACTGTGCTCCGAGAATCAGATACAGTCCATATTCTCATATCAAAACAACCATCAACTCATTTTAATTAACTGAATGAAATTTTCTTACCTAAATTTGAACCATTCTGACCAAATTGTCCCAGTTGACCCCAGACACACACTCAGACATCAGTATCTCAGGTCATATAAACTTATTGAATATTACTGGTTTCTTATGACAGCTACATCTTCATGTCTCAGAGTTCATTGAGGTTCACTCTGTATAAGTTTAACCATTGTTTCAAAGACACTCAAGAAAATACACTACCTTAGTAAAAAAAACTATTTGCTCTATCAGCAGGGAAGACCACTACCCCTCTGTCAGAAATCTCATCAATTAGATTTGGGCAATGTACACATACACTGATGTTAATTTCACCCTAAATTTCACAGAAATACAAAGACTATTGTTTTAAAAAGTCATGATCTACTAAAAACATTGAATTCAAGAAATTATCTCACACTGTGTTTTTCTACTTTTCATGGTATGACATTGACTTAAAAAGATGTAATGTGACTTGCCTCGGAGTTCAGTGGTTACCTGATAGAGGTGATGATCAAAATGATCTTGCAGCTGAGAAAATGAAAACGAAATTTGTTTTTTATCAAATCAACTAGTTGTTTTAGTGAATACATTACTCTTTCAATACATTAAGCATATAGTAAAAGCTGTATTAATGTTTTCAAGCCAGTCATCAATAACCTACTAAATGGAGGTGTTTGGAGATGGTGGCAAGGTAAGTGGAAGCAAATTCCACTTCCCCCAGCTCATGGGTGAAATACTTAGCCGATCTTCTGAGGAACAGAGCGAATAGCCAACAGTATTCCAGAATATATGAAGATTGGACACCAAAAATTACAGAGAACATTGAAAAATCAGATGGTAAGGAGAGTGCTAAAGGACAGTAAGGCCCCTGGGATCAGCACAGGGACCAGGGCAGCTGCAGCCCCAGACCTGGTGCCCACTGCTCCAAGATTCTTGGGAGAGAGCCAGGCTGGGCTGTATGAGAGGCCAGGTGCTTATTTGGACCAGGAGGCTTGAATAGGAGTAATTTTTCAAAAAGAAAAAGAAAAAAGAGTCCCTCCATGGCTATTTAGGGAATTCTCTGCAATAGCCACCAGCCTCCTGCACCCCCTACCCCCACAGTCCCAGGTCAGTGCACACCCAATCCAGCCAAGGGAGGCCCACCCGCTCTCATTCCAGAAGCACCAGGACAGTGCGCACCTGGTCCAAGGTCTGAAGCTGCCTGTCTGCACTCACCCTGGAGACACTAGGGACAAAACACCTCCCACTTGGCCCCTGCTCTGAGCCCCAGAGAGCCAACAGGCTCTCTAGGAGGGAGTTAGAAAAGCCCCATAGAGGGGAGCTGCAGTCCCTGGAAAGACGACTCGGGGGGGGCTGAACTACCATGAAGGGGCTCTGAGAGTCCCCAGCATCTAGAACAGCAAAGAGCAAGAAAGTGATGTGTAAGTTGCCCCTAATTGGTGCACCTCAAGGACAGTGCAACTGGTGTACTAAAAGCCTAGGCTGGGCACAGAAGGGCACTGAGGAACTGGGCTGGAGGCTGGACAACAGCAAAGAATGTGACTCAGGGTGGGAAAAAAAGCTAAAACAATCCCTCCTCAGCCTGGTGCAGCCAGGAAGACCAGCAGCAGAACTGGCCTGACTGGTTTAAAGCCAGCAGAAGGCTTTTTTTTTTAATTCTTTCTTCCATTCTGTCCTTGCTTTCTTTTTTATTTCTTCTACCTTCTTTTCCTTTTTTATTCCTTCTTCCTTCCTTCTTTCTTTAAAATTCCTTCTTCCTTTCCTTTTCTCTCCTTTTTTCTTTTCTCCTTCCTTCCTTTCTTTCCTTTTTCATTTTTTCTCCCTCCCCCCTTTTTTTCCCTCTTCTCACAGGTGAGACAATAATACCTGGAATGGAGAAAAGACCGGAGTTAGACCCAAATAGGGGCCATCCCAACAACAGAGACAGTCAAATTTCACTTTGCTACTCCAGAGAATTTGTAAGGTGGGAGTGGTGAATGCCAGTACACCTGCTGGTAGTGGAAACCTACCAACAAAGGAACCACCAACAGATAACAACAGAAGAAGGTGAAGGAGGGAGTAGAAGCCACACTAACCTCAATCCAGGACCAATCTGGAAATACAACTAAAAGGCAGAGAAATTACCCACAACAAACAACTGAACAAGAGAAAGACAGAAGCCTCAAAACCTTGTACACACAGAAGAATCAGCTTCAACACAACCTGTCCACACCTGCACAACAGAATATAAGACATTGTGGACAGAGTGATCCTCAGTGAACCAGCTGGAGGGAAGGACCCACCAAAGAAGGACCCAACAACAATTAAAACCCAAAGACACAGAGAGTCAACATAAATGACAGCCCAAGACCAGTGAGCTCGGGAGATTAAGGAGACCGCACTGCTGAATCTCACAGGTATTCTACCATAGAAGTTCACACCATACACCCAGGGAGTCAGAACAGATCAATTAAGAAGCAGAGGCTAACAAGAAGAGTCTCACAAACAATGGGAAGACAAAGACACATCCCCAAATGAAAGGAAAGGAGGAAGCCTCAGAAAGAATGCTAAATGAAATAGAGGCAACTCAACTATCAGATATTGAGTTCAAAGCAATGGTTATCTCAATGGAAGCTTGATGAGCTCACAGAGAATTACCAGAAACTACAAGAAAACTACAATGAACTCACTGCAAACTAGATCAACTTGAAAGGGGGGAAATAGAAACTATCACCGAGGGCCAAGAGCAAATGAAGAATACGATTTCTGAACTGAAGAACACAATGGAAGGAATCAAAAGCAGGCTCAGTGAGTAGAAGACTGAATCAGTGAGCTGGAGGACAAAATAGAAGAAACACCCAGAATGAGCAAGAAAAGGAAAAGGCTCAGAAAGAAGGAAGAGGGGTTAAGGGAAATGCAGGACAACATGAAACATAATATCCATATCAAAGGGATACCAGAAAGAGAAGAAGAGCAACAAGGGATAGAAAACCAGTTTGAAAAAGTAATGATGGAAAACTTCCCCAATTTGATGAGAGAAAAGGTCACACAAATCCAGGAAACACAGACAGTCCCAATCAAGAGGAACCCAAGCAGGCCCACTTCAAGACACACCATAATTAAAATGGCAAAATTCCAAGACAAAGAGAAAATCTTAAAGTCAGCAAGGGAAAAACCAAAAGTAACATAGAAGGGAGCCCCGATAAGGTTAGCAGCTGACGTCTCAATGGAAACACTCCAAGCCAGAAGAGAATGCAAGAAATATTCCAAGTAATGAGAACCAGAGGCCTGCAACCAAGGCTACTTCAACCAGCAAGGCTCTCAATAAAGACAGAAGGCCAAATAAGGATCTTCCCAGACAAAAGAAGTCTAAAAGAATACACCTCCACAAAACCAGCTCTGCAAAAGATGCTGAAGGGACTGCTTTAAGGAAAGGAAGGAAAAAGTGAGAGAGAGGGGAACACAGGTACAAAAAATGGCAATGAATAAGTACCTATCAATAACCTTAAACGTAAATGGATTAAATGCTCCAATCAAAAGACATAGAATAGCTGAATGAATAAGAAAGCATAACCCACACATATGCTGCCTACCAGAGACTCACCTCAGGACAAAAGACCTACACAGACAGAAAGTGAAGGGCTAGAAACAAATTTTCCAAGCAAATGGATAGGAAAAAAAAAGCCAAGGTAGCAATACTCATATCAGATAAAATAGACTTCAATCAAAGGGCCATAAAGAGAGACCCAGAAGGTCACTTCATAATAAGGGAAGAACCCATCAAAAAGAAGATAAACATTGTAAACATATATGCACCCAACATAGGAGCACCCAAATACATAAAGAAAATCTTTGGAGGACTTCAAGAGAGATATTGACAGCAACACAATTATAGTAGGGGATTTTAACACCCCACTGTAAAAAATGGACAGATCTTCCAAACAAAATATTAACAAAGATATTGTGGCATTGAACAATGCCCTAGATCAAACGGATTTAACTAATATATAGAGAGCCTTTCATCCCAAAGAAGCAAAATACACATTCTTTTCAAATGCACATGGAACAGTTTCAAAGATAGACCACATGACAGAACACAAAACAAACCTCAACAAATTCAAGAAAATTGAAATCATATCAAGCATTTTCTCTGACCACAAGGAACTGACACTAGAAATCAATTCCAAGGAAAAAAACTCAAAACATTCAAAATCATGGAGATTGAATAGCATGCTATGAAAAAATGAATGGGTCAAGAATGAAATTAGGGAAGAAATCAAAAAGTGTCTGGAAAGAAACGAAAATGAACTCACAACAACATGAAACTTATGAGACACAATGAAGACTGTGCTGAGAGGGAAGTTCATAGTGATACAGCCCTACCTAAAAAAGATAGAAACATTTCAAACAAACAACCTAACCCTACAACTACAGGAACTTGAGGAACAACAACAAAGACAGCCCAGAGCAAGTAGAGAGGAGGAAATAACCAAGATCAGAGCAGAATTAAATGA